GAAGCCTAATTAAAGGCTAATTTTTGAAGAATTAAGACTTAAGGTTCTATAAAACTTGAAAATTTTTTCTGAAACTAGATATTCAAATTCAAAAAATTTTCAAATCTGGGCTTTCTATTGCTTTTTATTTGACAATTTTTTCTGCTCTTAATAAAGTAGCTGATTTTCGGGAAGAAAAATGTGCATATTATCAACTTAAACGACCGAAGAATTTTCCCAAACTCTCTTTCGTCAAAGTTTCTTACAACCATAGAGAAGTAGTGTAGTTTCATGTCCCCCCCTCCCGTAATTTATATATTCTCTGTTTGTTTTCCTTTGCTGTTGTATCGGCTAAATTTTCAATTGCAATTTGATTTTCTAATGTGGTTAATTTTGAGTTCTCCTAACAAAAGAAAAAAATACTACCTAATTATTTTGAGAAAAAAAAATAAACTTAAATTATATTGTTTTTTTTCTACATTTGAAAGTCTACTAATAACAATGGCAAGCAACAGAAACCAAGGTAACTTCTTCTTACTTCTCTTTACTACGCTAATAAAGATTACCTCCTGACTTTACTGAAATCACCTACCTAGTTTTTTCTCCTTGAATAAGCTGTAGCCCAGCCTTCTCTTCTGATTCCATTATAATTCTGGCTTTTAAAAATTAAAAAAAATTTTGTTATGAAAATTTCACAGAAAAAATTGTTGAAGTGCTGTGAAAAGTTTTGCAAAGTTTCTCCGAAAGCCAACCTTAAGCCAGTGACATACTCAGATTCAGTGTTATCCCAGAACGTTTCTTATTTTTGAATATTCACATTAATTTAGTAGAAAAACCTCGTAATGTGCATTATTTATGCCAATAATTGGTTACTGCTATTCTCACTATTTTAAGAGCAATATGCAGGCGCAATTAAGTATCCTGCATTTCGCAGTCTTTGCTCTATTTTGTGTTATTCAAGTCATAAATACAAATAATTTTCTCGGGAACAACTCTTTTAACTTTTCTAATCAAGATTTTCAGTAAAGATTGAAAAAAGTAAATGAAGAAAATCAAATGAAGGTTTATGGAAAACAAAGTCTGGCAACTAATCGACTGTATCAAACATGACATGAGGAATTTTGACAAAATTTTTACAAAAATCAATAACAATAATTCTGATTTTGAAATTATTTTTTCCTAATAAGCATTAAATCCTTAGATTATAATACTTTACAATTAAAAAATAAACTAATCTATGCAAACTTAAACAAAAGTTTTTGACGCTCTAACAATTAGTTTAGTGGGGGGTTAGTAGTCTATCGAGCAGCTTGCACACAGCAAAGCTACTATAGCAACTACTTTTGATCAACTTGAAATAATGCTCTTAATAATGATAGAAATTTAAAATTTTTGTACGAGTTTTACTGTTAACCTTAGCAGACTGGAAAAGAAAAGTGTCGAAGTGATGAATCATTGAATTGAAGTTGGCTAAAGACGTGTAAACAGATTCAACTGCCCAACACAGGATGACTGGTACGATTATACCGCTATTCAACACTATGTTTATTGAACGTTGCAGTACACTATAATTGTAGTGTCGTTGAATATTGCAGTCAAAAACGCCGTGTTCTCAGTTAAATTCAGATTTCAAATCGTTTGGTCAAAATCTTCTTAAAAGATGCTCTTCGGACTATTTTCTTTCATGACTTATAGTTTTCCGATCTTTTCAGGCGTCATAATTTCGTAATATTGCCAAAAAATTCAAAGAAGTAGCAGTGAAAAACTTGGGTAAAGATATCCTTTGAAGAAAAGTCACGGTTTTTCATCTATAAAACTCAAAATAAAAATCGGGTTGAAACATAAGAGCCTTTTTCAGCCCCTAATAACAGGCGACTTTTTTCTATTGCGTTTTTGTAACCCTGCCACAGATAAACCTACTATATCCCATGTTTAAAAAGCAACCATAAGGTTGAAACCAAGAAAATCTGGTGAAAAATTATTAGCAAAAAAAGAAAAACACCTGCACTTTCTAAAATTTTTGAAAAAAGAAATTCAATTTAACTTAAAAAACTTGTATTTAAAAGCAATAATTGTAAAAAAAAACAAAACTTTTTTTCGACATTTTGGACAACATTCATTTGGCAGCAGATAAGGAGACTTGCATTCCAGCTTCGGGCAACCAGTAGGTCCGCAACTTAGTGTTCCATCGGGAAGGCAAATACATTCTGTACAGTTCGCGAGGATTTTTTTTTCGCCAATGTGTAAATGCTTTCCCATATGCTTAACAAATAAAGAAAGTAAAAAAGTGTTTTCTTAAATAGCTGCAAAAATTATGGCAATTTAGATTTCCTTAAAATGTGACAGGAAAAAGACGATCATTTGATTTTCCCATATGATATTTTACAAGTTACTTTAAAAATACTCTTGAACAGAACCAGTCCTGTTTTAAATTTTACAACAAAAAAAGTTTTTTTTTTTGCCTTTGTAACAAAAATTAACAAACATTTGCATTTTCTGTAGAGTGTATGCCTTACATTAAACTTTATATAAAATTAATAGTAAACAGTTGCCTTTAAACTTGGCATAAAAAAACCCAAAATTTTTAAGAGAATTTTTTTTTTAGTTTTCTAATCTTTAAGTTTTAATTTACCAAATTTGCTTCTTCCTGGCGCAAACAAGTTTTAAAAGATAATATTTCAGAATCGTACTGTTAATATGAATACAACTTGTGACTAATTTGCTTGAAAGCTTTTTGGAAAATTGAAAACTGCGAACGAGGTTCAATGGTACAATAACTTTGTTCTGCAGAACTGAAATTACGACATGCTTCAACTCAATTCTCAATGTTATTACTGCTGTGCAATTTTTGCATTTCTCTTTTTTGAAACAAAATCAACAATTGAGTAGAAATTACAACAAAATCACTATTACTTATTTCTTTCTCGATTTTCTATTGTCAATAGACTAAATTTTTTAAGAAGTTGATTAAGCTTTGAATGGAGCTGTATATTTGGACAGCTTATTTAGTTTGTATTTCCTGCTTCAGAGCCTTGGACTAGTAGACTTTATAAGCGGTGTACTTTTTGATCAATTAGTTTCTTCAGTTAATTCAATTACTCTTCTAAATGAACTGACTGGGTCGACAGAAGTGAGTGAACTGACTAAGCAAGCTTCGATTTGAAGGAATAAATAAAATGGTTCGTTGAAAACTATTGCAGTTTTGAGATTTTTTAACGTGTCTATTTTATGACATGAATTAGTGTTAGTATTTTATGAAAAGCTACATTATTTTTTACCAAATTAAATAGGAGTCAGGTGGGCAAAAGCATCTTTAAAAGTTCCCGAATATTAGCAGAAACGAAGCATTAAGCCAATTTTGGCATAATTTACATACAGACATAAACTGTAGTTCATAAATCAACATGGGATCATTAGTTTTGTACGAATATTTTTAAATTACATATTTTTTGACAATTTTTGAATACTGTTTATTTTTCAGTCATCGTAAGTGTTAAATGAAGGTATTGAAGAGAAGAACTGTTGAAAATAAAAAAAAATTTTTGTTGTTTTCAGTAATGAGGCTAATTTACACCAATATTCTGTAAAAAAAACATATAAATAATTGAATAAAAATGTATAAATTATAGCACATTTTCTGCTCATTAAAAAATAATAAACAGAAAATGTTTTACCCAAAACTTTTTGATAAACATTCTTTATTTGCTTAGCCAGCGCTGCATATTTTCCTTGTCTAGTTCTTCAGACAGTTTCATTAATAACTAAACCTCATTTTAAGCTTCCAGATAATACTCAGACAAGCAGTATTTCAAGTTTTTAAACCAAAAAATTCTAATTTTAAATGATAACTGAAGTGATTTTTTAAAGTAGATGTTAAGCTAACTGTGCATTAGCACGATATTTTACGCTTGCTTCTAAAAATTCCAGTAAGAAAGTTTTTTTTCCAAAAAGATAAGATCAATTACCTTGCAACCTCGATGAAAGGCTTCTACAACATCCATTCTCTGATTATGCGACATTACAAGGATTTTAATGTTATGAAAATTTTCTTCTACTTTCTGAACACGATTCCTTAGTTCCTGCAACAACGCCCTTGGAACATCTCGCCTTCTAGCCCATGATGGCCGGACACGCTGCAATAATTCATGCATAGCATTCAACATACTTCTTGTATAGTGTGGCAGCAGTTCTGTCTGTAAGAGTAGACTCTAAACCAAGATGAACAAGAATGCTGCATTTTTAAGTTTTCAGTGTAAAAACTATAGTGAATGAGTAGTTAATACTCTATAGCAGTAATATAGACTGTGATTCTTAAACTGAACCCTTTCCTATCATGGTATCCAACCCAGTTTACAAGCGCTGTTTTGGTTTAAACTTTTTAGTTTTAAAATATTCAGCTTTTCCTTTTTTCTCTTTCTTTTTCTGAAGTTAAAAGTTTCAACATTTATTAGAATGGAAATAAAAAATCAGTGATCATTTGGCAGTCTCTCACCGACGTCCAATATTCATCCCAGTCTGTCAGCCTATCTGCCGATATTACAGCGGTAACAGAATTTGATGATTTTTGAAGAGTTGCACATCTGCTTGCTGTTGGATCTGTTTTTTCAACAGTAAATTCGTAAATTTTACCCTGAATACGTTGCTCATTACGCACGTCTTCACCAATGTGCATTCGAAGTGATGACGAATGTCTGAATACAACAAAAATGAAAGACAAAAATATAATACAAAAATCTCAATATAACTACAATATAACAGCTCATTAAAAGAAGTATTTTTAATCAAACAAAATTTTTTGCTTTATTTTCGACTACTTCTAAATGTCTCAACTGTCCTTTACTGTGCGAAATGTTTAATGACAAAGCCAAGAAATTGCTAACTGAAAAATATCAGATATTTGGTTTCAAATATAACGTTAGGATAAGTGCAAACTTGAATGATAGCTCGTCCTCTGTAGTTTCCAGCGACTGAACACAGTTCACAGAAAGTTTAAGTACATTACCAGATAGTGTAAATATTATTACATTTTTTCCTTTCCCATCAATTGCCGCTTCAACAATATACTTTTTTATTAGATCATCTCCTGTTCGTAATTTTAAGAAAACCTAAATTGATTGTAACAATGTAAGAACTTGGTGAACAATTTTGATACGTTGACAAATGTAAATTTTTGACAAAGGAGCAACCTAAAAATGACTTACTTGATTGGTGACTGTTGAAGACTCTAAGGACAATAAGATGCTTGTTGGTTTCTGTTCTGAATAAACACTGAACAGTGTTGCAAAAGTATTTGGAAGTTGCGTATACACTGCTACAAGTCCAATTTTCTGTTTTACAAAATTTCTCCATAGACGGCTTGCCTAAAATAAAATCTATTTTTGAAATTTATCATCAATTGAACAAATACCAGTCATAAAAATTGCAGCTAATTCTGGTTTTGTCTTTTCACTTAAGAAACATCTTTACGGTCTTCTGGGACTTGAAGAATGTTTTAATAAATTCAATGATAACAATCAGGCTTTTTTTCTTGATGTTTTTCGACACTGTAGAATGTTTAAGAATCTACTAAATACAAATAAAATTGGCTGTACTTTAGCTTACGCATTGCCTTTAAACTGTTATTCGCTGTTAATCTGCAAATTATAACTGTACTATACCTAAGAACTTTCTGATCTATTAGTTCAAGCTTCTACTTCTTAATGCTTAATCGTTTTGGAACCAATTTCTATCTGCTGCCGTTAATTTAATTTAAACATGAAAAATTATCTATTGCTCAACAACAAAAATATATGCATATATATACGCAGAAAAATCGCTGTTACTAGCGTTTTGTACTTTCTTCAACATTCTTGCAGCTTATTACTTTCTACAGACATTTGAAGAGCATAAATAAAAAAAGTAAAAGAAGCTAGAATGCTAAGTTGTATAAAAAGTCTGATTTCTGAACAGTCGTACGGTAATCAAACTATGGAAGTTTAGATGACACCTATCAGCTTTCTTGTTGAAAACATTCAGTTTCTATCTAAACTTTTTCCTTTATAGTAACTTCTCACTAGGATTAATTGTGTGATAGCTGAATTGCTTAGCAAAGTTTTTGATAAAATTTTTAGCTTTACAACGATGTTGTCTGCTCTGCTGGATAGCATTAAAACTTTTATTTCATTCACTGATTTCCTGAATCAGTATGAGCAACTGTGAACTTTTTTTTTAAAGTATAATGTAAGAGCAAATTCAATTTTGAACATTAGTAGTGACTTATTGTGACAGCATAAAATATCAGCAATCTTCAGCAACTGATTAGTGTATTGCTTTTTTCAGTAACTGCTTTAGTATTTTTGGTGATTTTAATCATCAAAGATGTTGTAAATAATCTTTGAAATTTTTGCACTTACTTTTAACACATCAGCTTACAATATCACAAACAGAAGGTTATCCTATTGAAATTCCATTTCCTATAATCTAACCTTTTTGCAGAAGACACTAATTTATCAGCTACACTAGTTAATGACACCTATAGATTAAAAATTGATTTAGATTGTTCAGAATGATTCCCTTATGCTAGTCTCAAAATGTATAATAAAAAATTGTTTTTGAATTTAGATAAAAAGTGCATATTGGCTGATTCTGATCCGACAGCCATAAATAAGTGAATAATTCCCTTTAAAGTCGACATAATCAAAATATAAGAAAGAAAAAAAAAGTCAAAAAGATCAAACTACAGAATCAAAACAGCAATTTTTCAGTGTATAAAGTTGCGTATTGACCGTTTAGTTCCAATTTTTTTAGCCGGCAACATGAAGAAATTTTAAAATTTTATGCCATTTTATTGGTGAAAAATTGCAAACATATTTTCAGCATTTTAATATATTTGGGTGGTGAATAATTTAATGAAGAAACTTTCTTGTTTTAAAATGGCAAATTTTTAAAGGTTTTCTTCTTTTTTTAATAGTTTTGTTTTTTTTTTAATCATAAAAAAACAAAGTTTAACACTGAGGAATTGAAAGAGAAGAACATTGAAGTTAAAGTCAAACCACAGATTCTGCAATTTGCATTGGCGGTCCATTCTTCAGCTTTCCACCGTGACACCATATTGCCATCAAAGCAAATACCATCAATTGTACATTCATCGTTACATCGATTTCTTCAGGAGTCCAAAATAATTTGTAGCTTTTTGGATAGAAAGAAGAATCAAACCCAAATAGTTTTCAAAGAAAGTTATTGTTTTCTTTTTCCTTTGCTTTAGCCTCTTCTCTTTTTGTTTTGATTCTCTATTAATCCTCTGTAAAAAAAAAAAA